CCCACCTGCCCTCGCGCCGCGCCCCTCCCCCACGCCGGCCGCGCGCTCCGGCGCCCGCGGGCACGCGCGGCGGCGGCGGCGCTCGGGCGTGTGCGAGGCGTGAGGTGGAGATGGGGGCGGAGGGAGCGGGAGCTGTCACAGGCCCCGGGTCCGCCTGAGCGAGCCAAGTGGGGTGTCATGGCCGCGGGGGGCAGCGGCTGCACTTCCTCTGCTGGCAGCGGCGGCCGGGGAGTCAGTCCTCGGCGCACGGGTCGGTGTGTGCGGATTTGTGTTTGGGGTGCGCGCGGCGGGGAGGCGGGGGCGGGAGCCGGGCGGGGGCCGCTGCGGTCTCCTCCGCGGAGCCCCCGGCGACCGGCGGGCTTCCCCGGGCGGAGGGAGCGCGGACTGGGGCGCCCGGGAGGGGCCGGGCTGCACCTCTCACACAGTGCGTTTTGTCTGTTTTTCTCTCCCAAGGTCCCGTTTCCCTCTGTGCGGCGGCCGGCGGGACCATAAGGGCTTAACTCAAATACCCAACCCTCCTCCAAAAAGTAAGTGGCCCGTGTGCTGTCCGCTCCACCCGCCGCCCCTAGCCCCTGTCCATCCTTGTGTCTGACTCTCACGTCTCCAGCATTGTTATTTCCCCGTCTCGGCTTCGGTGCGGCTGAGGTGCGGGGAAATGCCCTCTCGTCGTCCTCCTCTGTCCCCCACGCCCAGTCCTCGGGGAGGCCCGGAATTCCAGCCCCCCATCTCGGTGGGGCATGTTCTAGGGAGTCAGGGCTTCCTCAGCAGAACCTGGGAGAGTCTGTCCGTCTGCTTGGGCCCCTGGTCCCCTCCTTCCCGACGGGGTTTCGTTGGAAGGAATTATGCAAATCCTGCTTTCTGGTGTCCATTCAGCGGCAATTTCATGCGGTGAGAAGTTCTCTTTGTTGTGCGAGGGGGAGAACAGACACTGATTTAATAGACATATCTGTTGGGGGGAAGGGTGGAGGGGGTGTGGAGAGGCTCAGTTTGGAAGAATTACAGCACTTGGTTAGCTCAGTCTTTGTGTTTGAGCCTTCTGGCTTGACAGGAGGGTCTGCCCTTTACAATGTCCCACAAGGGATGTTTCCTATAATAGATGAAAAAGCAAAACTAAAACTTTAAACAAGTGAAAAATAAGGTAGCCTTTACTAAGAGAAAATAAGCACTGCCATTTTTGCAGTATTTCATAATGAAAATGTATAATGTAAATTTATTGAAGACTTAGACTGTAACATCAGATGGAATTAATGCAGGGGACAATGCGATAAGGTGTCCGATACCACTTTGGTTGTCCAAAGGTTAAAAGTATTTTATTTAAAATGCATACTTGGGTAAATATTAAAGATCTGAGCAGGGTTTTTTTTGGGGGGGTGATTCACCTTGTGAATCACAGGTTAAAATTTCCCTCTTGCCAATCCAAGCTCTGCGCTGCCCTCCAGGAAGCAAGCTTTTTGGCTCCAGCTATCATTTTCCCTGTTCTGCTTCTGCTTGTTTTGTTTTTTTCACGACCTGTCACACATTTGCTACACTGTGACATGGGTTTTAAGCACTTAGGAATTATGTCATTTGTCATCATCAAGTAAAAGTGTACATGTCAGGTTTTGAGAAACATCAGATTGAGGTGTTTTCTGAATTATTAGTTAATAGAAAGACAAACTATTTAGAAGGATTTTTAGTTTTGTAGCTTTAGTTACAGTCGTAGTGATAGTGTATTCTGGAGGGCTTTTTAGTATTTAAAAGACTGGGATCGAGAAGTGCACCCTGTAATTTCTTGTGTGGGTCCAGCTTTTGTTTAAATTATTTCAGTGAATTTTCCTATGCTGTTCGCTGTAAAATCCTCGTTTTCTGCTTAACTCCTCTTTCTTATCAGTAATTGCATTAGTGGTTGATAACTGCTTTTGGACTAGATGTTTTGTTTTGTGCCTCTTACTCCTGTAAACACCTCACTTGACTATCAAAGTCAGATGAATTCTTTGGTGAATGTTTTTGAGTTGGTGATCAGTTTTCTGAGAGTATATTTGGAACTCCAGATTTCTACTTTTTAGCTGATGTTCAGGAACTTTTAGAGTCTAGATGTTATTTTAAATACTAATACTTATTGATAGTTGCTCAGCTAAAGTCAGTTTGGGCATCATATTTTTTCTTTTGTTATATGTAATTTTGTTCTCTAAGGGGATTGTTTAAAGTGGTGTTACGAGATTTGTATTTTAAAGGGCTGGCAGCAGTCTTTATATAGTGCAAAAGGAGCTGTGCTGATTCCTATCAGATGAAATAATTCCTCTTAGTAGGATTGGTTCTTTGCAGTTAATCTTCTGATTTTATTGGTTGATTGTTTTAATATTTTAGGGGTGTTTGGTTTTTAAGTGAAACTTAATTTATAGTAGTCCTTGGGTTAAAAATGATGCTTCTGTCATTTCCAGAATTTAATTTTCCTTTTTCCTTTTTTCGGCAAGGAGGGAGTATGTAAGTGATGTCTTGAATACAAGTTACTGAGTCAGCAGTGCCATTAGTTGAATCAGAGTTAATACAGATTGACTGTCTCTTCAAAGTGCTTGAGGTCAAAGTGTTTGAAATTTCTGTGTTTTTTAGATTTTGGAATGTTTGCAAAGATTTTGTTGACTGACCATCCATAATCTAAAAACCTGAAATCCTAGTTACTCTAAAACCAACCCTTTTGGAGCACTTTGGATTAGAACAGAACCTGTGTTGGGTTCAGACAGTCATTTCAGGAGTGGGTGCTGCTTTACTTTGGTGGCTCTTGGGGGTGATCAGGTTCCTGGCAGATTGGTGTCTCTGATGCTACTGCCTATTGCTTGGCCTCCTCTAACCTTTCTGTATTTTCAAGCGCTTCGTAGTGTGGGAAAAGGTGTGATTTTTGCTAGTTCTAGTTTGGCTAAAAAGGAACAAGATAAGTTTCTTGACTCATGGAAGGGTATTTCAATTACCTCTGTTTATAGCTACAACAATTCTAGAGGTATTTGATAATACCAGTTTTTAAAATTAATGAGTTACACGGGGTGGCCTTGTATTTTCTAATAGTGAGAATTGATTATTTCATGTCTTTGGGTACTTCTGAGTACCTGTCCAGTCCCTTAGCAACTGTAGTTTAGTGTTGTTACTAGGGTGCAGGTAAGTGATTAATTCACTTAAGTATTTATTATGCAAACTGCCTTAAAAAAAAAAAACAGACATTGTGGACAAAAGTTGAGGAGGCTGCTCTAAATTTCAGGAGCTTTTAGTTTTTGTTGTTGTTTTGTTTTTAAATTTAAATTAGCTTTAAAAATTGTGTTTTACTAGAACTTTTAGTTCTTACATAAGTATATACAGTTTATTGTACAAGTCAAAATGTGTAGTATAATGGTACAGATTAAGTGTGGAATGGAGGATAGAAGTGAAATAAATCTCTTCATGGAGGTGGCATACTTCATTTTGATCTATGTGGAAATGGTATAGTATACCTGAGAAATATGAGTAAAATGGAAAAGAACAAGGTGTTCATTTAAGCTGCAATCCGTGATTAATGGGAGGGATATATGCTTGTGTAGGAATTTTTAAAATGGAATTTAGCTGGCTGCGCTGGGGCATGCCTTACATCTCAGCACTTGGGAAGCAGAAGCAGTCAGATGGATCTCTCAGATTTAGACCAGTCTGTTATATATAACAAGACCCTGTCCTTTTTTTTATTTTATTTTTTTGAGTCAAGGTTTCACTATATAAGTCTATAGTTCTGTTTGCTGGGATTAAAGCACGACTAGCTGCACCCAGCCCTAAAGCTGTTATTTTTGTTATTAGACAGAATCTCATGTAACCTAGGCAGGTTTCAAACTCACTTTGTACCCAAGGCTACCCTGTAACTTCTGATTTTCTTGCTTCTATTTTCCAAGCGCTGTGATTACAGTGTGTGTCACTACACCTGACTTTTTATTTATGTATTTGCTTTCAAGTTAAACAATTATCATCCCTATACATTTTTTTTTTAATCTGTCTGCAAATTCCCCACCCCCCTTTTAACTGTTCTGTGTATTTGTGCATTGCTTTGGGCATAATTCCATTATAAACTGATGACTTGTTTTCATTTTGTTGACATTTAGGTACAGGGAAGTACCTAAAGTCCATACCCTAATATTTTAAATTGAAATAGAAATCACATGTAATAACGTTCACATTTGTTTGTTTGTTTGTTTGTTTGTTTGTTTGTTTTGAGACGGAATCTTATATCATCCCAGCTGGTCTCAAAGTCTGTTGCCAAGACTGGCCTTGAAGTCCTAATCTTCCTGCCCGTATCTCTAGAGAGCTAGGCTTACTGCTATATGCTACCATGCCTGACAAAATTCGCCTTTTGAATTGTACAGTTTCTGCTTTCTAATTATTCACAAAGTTGTATACATACCATCATTGATTCTAAAACATTTTCATTTCCATAAAAGAACCCCCTTGCTCTTAGGCAGTTCTGTGACTTAGCTCTTGGCAGCTTCTAATCTGCTTTCTGTTTCTGTGGGTTTGTCTAGTCATTGGTTTCTTAGAGATGAACTCATGTTCTTTATGGCCTTTACATCTGACTTCTTCCATGTATCGTAGAGCTTTCATCCAGGTTGCAGCATGCATCCACAGTTGTATTCCTTTTATACTACATTATATGGACAGTCCACATTTTGTGTGGACATTTAGCATGTTTATTTATTTATTTTGGCTATTACAGTACTATGAGAATTTCTGTACAAGTTTTTGTGTGAATATGTATTTTTAGTTTTCTTGAGTATGTACATAGGATAGAGTTGATGGCTTATGTTTTAACTTTTTGAGTTTACCATTTTTCAAAATGTTTGGGGATATTTTACATTCCTACCATAATTTTTTAAATGTTTCAATATCTTTTAAGTGTACACTAATATTTTTTTGTACACTAATATTTTTAATTGTCCGTTTTTGCCTCTTGATCTTTTTTCTCTTTGATTTTAAAAAAATTATGGTTGTCCTAGTGAGTATGAATTAGTATGTTATGTTTATTTGCATTTAGTTAATGACTGATGATCTTTTATTGTGTTTATTGGCCATTTGATATCTTTGGGGAAATGTTTGCTTAGTTCTACTATCCACTTTGCAGTTTGGTTGTTACTACTGAATTGTAGGAGTTCTTAATGCACTCTGAATACTAGACCCGTGTCAGTATATAGCTTACAAGTATTTTTTTCTCAGAATCATAGGTTAGTGTGTAACTAACTTAAGCAGAGCTTGTGAAAGGGAATAGTGGGTATAAGCAATGGAATAAGCAGAATGAGATGGAAGTTTTCAATAAAGGATTGCTTAAATATTTTTTCTATGAATCAGTAAATTATTGGTTATTTTATGGCATTGTACAGCATAAAGATACAGCTTGCTACCTGAATCTTCTAAATTTCAGCTTTTGAAAATGATTTATTTCTTTATTTTTATTTTAAGTGCATTGGTAATTTTCTTGCATGTCTGTCTGTGTGAGGTTGTTGGATCCCGTGGGACTAGAGTTACAGATAGTTATGAGCTTCCATGT